CAGTCAAATTTGTTTTTAATTTCAATAAATTTTATTAGAAATAAAAGAAAATAAACATAGATTACAGTGTAATTTTCACTGTTTAAGATGTGTGTGAAACCAAAATTCTTAGTTTCAAACACATCGTGAACAGTGAAAATCAATCAGAAAACAAACAGTCTAGCTGTCTATTCTCTTTACATTTCTCTCTTTTTAATCTTAGTAGCTAACAATTCATCAACAATTCTATACACATTATCAACTGCTCTATCAACATTTTCATTATACGTATCTATTCTAAAGTTCGTTTCAACTTCTCTTCCCAAAAGATCAACATTCAAGTAATGAACATTTTGCGTATAATGAATATAAAACCCAAATAAAATAAACAAAATAAAAATAATAAATAATAAAATAAAAATAATGTTTTTAAATAACTTTAAGTAATCTTTTAAAGTTAAGTTTGTGTCTTCAAGAGAACTAATTCTGTTCTCATAACGTTGAAATTCTGTTGTCATTCTTTCAGTTAAGTAGTTTCTTAACTCTAAATTAAAATAAAAGTTAATAAAATAGTAAAATTAACAGTAAATAATTAAAACTATACCCTGTTCAGAAGTTGTTACTTCTTCAGTAATTTCAATTTCTTCAGACATAATTAAAGGCATTTTAGTAAATTTGTTTTATTTGTTGTAAGATTGCGATAATTTTGAGAAAGAAGCAGTAAAAATTGCTAGTTTTATTAACCTGGAGTTATTCTTAAAGAAGCATTAGGCATTCTAACAACATCTTCGTATCTCGGCGGACTATCTGTTGTATTGTCGATCTCAACATCTAAGCTTGAAGATCGAGTCAAAATAGTGATCCTTTCAACGTTTTCCATTATGTATTGCACGATAATAAGTGAGGAAATGATAAGATAAAGTGCGGTTAAAAACATGTAAATCTTGGAAAATTTTGTAAAAATTTTGTAAAAAATTTGGATTTGTACGGCACAAAACAGTATTTTTTTTATAGCAATCTAACGTCTGTTATCAGTAAAATCATAATTAAAACATATTAGGGCATTGTTTGTCGTTCCAGATTTAGGTTGAATGGAAGGATTGGTGAGTGTATTTGGACACATGTGGCGTGCATATGACCGCATCATCACACATGCATATCAGATAACAGTATCGATTAACCAAATCAAGACTCATTCTATTGAATTATTTTCATTCGTTTTCTTTGTTGATAAGAACAAAGCCAAATTTAGACTCATTCTGATTAGTTATCATGTAAATTGTCTTATTAGAATCTGATTTTCATTTATAAAAATGCCTGAGAATTTTGGTGAATTCTTTAAAATTACAATCTAGTTCTGTAACGCAGAACACTGTCTGAGAGCAGGGTAATAACGAGAGCAAATGTTAATTTGCGGACCCAAAAAAAACACATGAAATGTGTTTTTTTAGTATTACCCTGCTATCAGACAGTGTTCCAAATATATTAGCAGTATTAAAATAAAAAATCAATTTGTTCTATGGCTACTAACCTAAAAGATAATGCTAATTGAGTTCATAGTAGTGTATAAATTTTAAAATAATAACGCTAAAAAGGTGGAATGATATCAAGGGCTGCAGAAAAAAATGCAAAAATCAAAGATGAATTTTTACAGTCTTTGCTTTCATATGAAAAAGTGAATAGTTAATATAGGTAAAATCAAGTCAAAAGAAAAAAAAAAAATAGATGGATACTCCCTATTTCAAGTTCTAATAAAGTAAAATAAAATGGAAATTACAAACAAATCCAAAAGCCTATGAGTTATTTCCAGCTTATCATAAGTTTTTGAATAACTTAAATATCAAAATGATGCCAATGACTATGGAATGGTTTGCAAATATTATATAAACTAACCATAGTTGTATTTGTCTTGATAAATTTTATATCAATCATATTCCTAAATACTTTCCAATAACTGGGTCTTGTAATATGGGTCAAATTAAAAAAACTTTATTTATATGCCATGCAAATGCCAAAAAAGCAAAAGAGAAAAAAGAACTTAAAAACAAAGATAAAGATACTTACCAATCGTTGACGATGCATATGGCTTGGAGAATGATGAAGCAGCAGAAACAGTATTTAGAAAGCTTATTGAAAATGCTAAAGAAATGAATTATAATAATAATTCATGTTGGAGATATACTGGAAATTCTGATTGTACAAGACAATGAAAGACATGACAAAACTGTATAAATGCAGTAAGGAGCTATAAAATAACCTAGTTTTTCACCCCAGTAAATAATATAAATGAAGCCACAGGAGACCAGCAGTCAGATTCAGAAAGTGATAGTGATCTTGAACTCGAAAAAAAATCATTAAAATAGAAACAACATTTTCAAAAAACTGAGAAAAGGATACAAAATCTGCTAGATACTATGGAAATATCAAAGAACAATAAGATGAAGTATGTTTTTATAATCCATTATATTCAACTTCTTCAATATGACTTATCTAAAATTAAAGCAAGTTGAGTTGCGGCAACTATTCACAATGGTAGTGAGTATCATGCCAGATGTATACAAACATGGGGAAAAAGATGTTTAGAAGGTAATCTCTTACCTTCATCTCAATGTGGAAAGCATCTATCGTAGTCACTTCTTCATAATGAAGAAGTCTCCTTAAAAGTAGCAGATTACTTAAGATCAACAAAATTCAAAGTAAATCCAAGGCTTGTCAAACAGTACTTTGAAAATAATATTCTGCCTGAGCTTCACATTGATCAAGTACAAACGATTTCTTTGACTACGGCACAGAGATAAATAAAAAAAATAGGGTTTTATTATAAGAGATATCAAAAAAGTGTATATGTGGATTGTTATGAAAGGGAGAATGCAGTTGCGTATTATAAAGTATTTTTACAAAATATAGCAGAATATGAAAGGTTAATGCCTAAGTGGACTGATGTTAATTGTAAAGTATGTGAAGAGCATTATTTATTGCCTGGTAAACAAAAACATATCCTGATTACCCATGATAAATGTACCTTCTATTCTTATGATAGCACCTGTGAGTTTTGGGCACCTGAAGGTGAACAACCGTTAAGGAAAAAAGGACTCAGAAAAGGGCTTTATGTTAGTGAATTCCTTGTAAAAACAAATGGAAAATTGAAAAATGAGAAGAAAGAAGCAAGGTTAATAATGCAATTGGGTGCAAATTATGACAGATATTTTTTTTTTAATTCGGCAGTCTTGCCTTTACTGTTTATTAGTACTCTAAGGTATTGTGGTTACAAACGTACATACATACATTTACAACTATCTAATTTATTA